ACACACACACACACACACACACACACACACACACACACACACACACAGAATCCAAAGCAGGCTCCAGGCTCTGAGCTGTCAGCGCAGAGCCTGATATGGGTCTCAAACTCACAAATTGTGAGATCACGACCTAAGCCAAAGTCAGGCACTTAACCAACTGAGCCACCCAGGTGCCCCAATAAACTAAACTCTTGATGCATCCTCCACCTTTATCATTTGTTGTTCATGTAGCATAGTGTTGTCTATTTACAACTTTAAAAGGAAAAATTAGACCATTTCTTAAGAGCTAGAATTCTGCCTCCAGTTTCATCTGTTGAAATAATTATTTCTCACATTGGAAACTGTGTGCTCTTATGAAATAAAATGGTGGATGAGAGGCTGCAAGGCAGACTGGAAGGTGTTCAGGCTTCAAAAGACAGACCTGGGCTGGAATCCCAGCTCCTTCACCACTTACTAGAGTTCAACCTTAATCAGCCTTTTAAACCCTGGCCTTCCCTAATATCATCCTTTAAATGGGAGTAACCCTACTAAAGGGGTTTCTATGAGGATTAGGGACAATGCAAACAAAGCACCCAGGCTGTACTGGATGCTAAATAAATGGTGCTATTATTATGGTTAAGCCCTCGGTGTTACACAACAGCAGCTAGGTTGCCCAGGGCTCCCAAAGCCACATAATCAAACTGGCAAGAGATTGCTGAGTTCAGGGGACAACTGCTTACTCTGTTGGGGGAGTAGCAAATGTCAGAGTTCGATAACTGTTTATCTACCTCAAGGTGCCAGAGAGCCATACTCCATATAATGGTGTGTCTTGCTTTGATGGCCAATGAAACATGACTTTCGAATAGCACTTTGTTGGCTTTTCAGGAGGCTAGTACAATTTCTTAAGATGGTTTAAATATCCGGAACCAACACATTCAGGGGAAAAAACAGTTCAATAATAACAAATATTCCTTCCTTACTGTTAGCTTCCTTGTTCCTTCTTTCTCCGGCTCAGAGAATACCAATTCAAGGACTAATAACTCTTCTGACACTTTTTTTGTTTTCTTCCAAGAATATATTTTCATGTCTGAATAAGTGCCAACGCCTTCCCTGAAAGAATGGGTGCATTCTGAATCACGTTCACCGATTTTCAGGTCAAAGTTTCCGAGCATCAGTGGAAGGCAGTGTGGCGTGATAAGACAAGTCGAGTCGAGGACTCAGGTCACCTGGGTCTGAATCTCCATCACCATTTCGGAATCACCATTTCACCATTGTGAAAGGAGTCGATGGTGCTGCCTTAGTTTTCTCACTTGTAAAGGGCACCAAATCCGGTCCTGGGTGTGAACGAGCTTTGTCGCACGTGCATGCGATAAGGTCGCACGCACATTATCCAGAGGTACCGCAACCTGACCGCACCCAATAGCTCCGGCTGGGTCCCGCCAGCTCCGGTCGCTCGCCTGCGGCGCCGTGCCGGGAACCGTAGGTTGCGCGCGCAGCACCTCCATAGCCTCCCAAACCCCGCGTCTCCGTTGCCAGGGGAACTGGGGGCTGTGCGCTTTCCGGCGCTGTCGCGACGAGTCGCAGCTGTCATGGCGGAGACAATTTGGAGCACTGACACCGGGGAGGCTGTGTATCGCTCCCGGGACCCCGTGCGCAACTTGCGCCTCCGGTAGTCGCATCGTCCCAGAGCCCTGTGCTTTTATACTCTCAAATAATTCGAGGCTGAACCTCACTTGTTTGCTGAGTGCCCCCTTCCGCTTTCAATCCTGATCTCTGCCTTTCTGGTCTCCTCGCGTCTCCCTCACTACCCTCAACCATCTCCACTCACAACTTCCAGACCTATCCAAGCCCTCTCAATTCTCTGCCCTTCTCAAATTCCTCGGAGCTCTGTGTACCCAATACACTCTCTAATCGGCACTCTTTCCCTTAGGATCCCGGGCCGCGCTCGGTGCACCCGGCACACCTTGGTAGCCCCGCCCTCTTCTTCCTTTTGCTTCCGCCCCCCCCCCCCCCCATCTTTGCTCTTTGTTCATCTCCAGGTTGTATGTCTTGTAATCAGTATTTCGGGCTTTTCTTTTCCTGACAGAGTCCACCTGCAAAGAATCACATCAAGCAACTTCCTCCGTTACCAGCCTGCTGCCCAGCCTGGGAAGGACCTCATAGACTTGGCCACTTTTAGGTCTCACCCAACTGCCAGTGGGTGTTTGGTGGTGATGCGACCCTTTGGGGATCTGGGGAAGGGCCTGGGGCGGTAGTAACCTTTTAAGACCTAGTAGACCCGGTTCTGTAGTCTAAGAAAAGGCATAGAGAGGTTGAGTTCCTTGCCCACGGTCACACGGTCGGTAAATGTTGAAGCAAGGATTTGATCCCAAGCAGTTTTAATTGCTCCATTATGTTGTGTATGGAAATTGAGTAAGACCTGATTCTTGCCATCAGGAGTTGATCCGAATTGTGGTCAAATGTAGTAAAATAACAAAGATTATACCATAGATATGTTATGAATCTGCCTAGAAACCTAAATACTGCTTGTGGCATTTTTTTCTAAGAGAAAATATGCCCCAAATTCCTAATATATGTGTATATTATATATACACACGCTTTTAAAAACAACTTAAAAATTTTTTTTAATGTTTATTTATTTTTGAGACAGAATGCGAGTGGGTTAGGGGCAGAGAGAGAGGGAGACACAGAATCTGAAGCAGGCTCCAGGCTCCAAGCTGTCAGCACAGAATCTGATGCAGGGCTCAAACTCAGGAGCTGTGACATCATGACCTGAGCCGAAGTCGGATGCTCAACTGATTGAGCCACCCAGGCGCCCCTAAAAATAACTTTAAGTTTTACATATATCTATACCACACACACGTACACACTATTTAAAAATAATTCTTAATTGGCATCTGCTTGAAAAGGGAACATACTGGTCTCTTGCAGTTTACCTTATCTTGGAAGCCAGAAGAGTGAGGAAGAGAGGACAGTGTGTTTGTGTTAAATCACTAATCTCTCTGCTTTTGTTGTTTCTGTTCAGATATATTCTTGGTCAAGAGTGGGCTGGTGGGTTGTGAAGCATGTGTCTCTGAAAAAGGCATACTCAGCTAAGAGTGTATTCAATTTGGTTCTTTAAATACTCACCTTTCCTCCTCTCTTCTGGCACTTGGTCTCTTAAAGGTTATAGGGCTTGTGGTTCTAGATATATGGTTTCAGGAATAGTAAAGGTAAAAACACCAGGGTTCCTATCTAGCAAATGTAGACAGTTGGGATTGAGGAAGAGGTATTCAGCCCATATCTAAATTTGAGTCCTGACACTGAATTAGATTAAGTAATTCCTGGGAGCCACGACTTCCTTTTATTCAAATTAAAGTAGTAATTAAAACTTCTTGGGTCCTAATCCTGGCTTCTACATATATCCACAGCCTCTCTAACCTTTGTTTAGAGTGAGTGCTTAATAAATCCCCAAACTCCAGCTGGTTTTGTGGCAAATAAATATTAGAGCAGGGACTTCAGTAATAACCAATCACAGAGCAAGAAGTGGTGCTGATTTGACTCAGACGTTTGACTCACTCTGTGGTCTTTGGAGGTGGACACCGCTCAGAGGAAGAGGAAGAGGAAGAGGTCGTGATTGGGTGGCAGGAGAAGCTCTTTAGCCAGGTGAGCCAGTGTCACTTACCTACCTCTACCTGGTCTGCCTCCACCTGGCTGGTAGGAGGGAAAGATTCTTGATACATATTGTCTAATTTCCAGAAAGTTATAGCAGTTTATACATTCCCCTGATGTGTTTAAAGGGCAGTATAACATAGTGACCAACGCTACCCTGTTTTATGATCCTGGGTAAGGCACTTTTCACCTCTGGGTGAAATCTGCCATCTGTAACAGCAAAGTTGGATTAGACCATCCCTCTGGTTCCTTTTAGATCTAACATTCTTGGATCCCCTGCCCTGCATTAATTCAGATAAATGGAAATTGGCTATGAAAACATGTCAAATAGCATTAACTCTATAATTAAATTTCTTTTTAATGTTTATTTAGTTTTTGAGGGAGAGAGAGAGACAGAGTGTGAGTGGAGGAGGGGCAGAGAGAGCGGGAGACACAAAATCTGAAGCAGGCTCCAGGTTCTGAGCTGTCAGCACAGAGCCTGATGCAGGGCTTGAACCCACGATCCACGAGATCATGACCTGAGCTCAAGTCGGCCGCTTAACCAACTGAGCCACCCACGCGCCCCAAGTAGCATTAACTCTACAGAACTGATTTGACTAAACAGTTACAGGGACAAAAGTTTGACATATTCTCAGTACATCTCTGTGTCCTTGTTACCTCAGTTTGAAGTAGATCTGTACCGAAATGAAGCGGCCTGTCAGAGCCCTTTGGATCATCAGTACCGTCAAGAGATCCTGAAGCTGGAGGCTTCGGGTGGCAGGAAGAACCGACGGATTTTTACCTACACTGACTCTGATAGATACACCAATGTGGAGGAGGTATTGTTTTTTTCTGGGGTCCCATGGCTTCCTTCTCCTTTTCCTCCCCTAGCTTCTGGTCTCACCGGGTTCTGTATATTAAGCCGGAAGCCTGTTAAGGGGCAACAGACAGCCTATGTAGGAACTGCCTCGTGCTGCTGGCAGCCAAGCCGGACAGTGGGCACAGTTTTCGGGTGGTGTGGCTGCTCCTTCTCCACCTGCTAGAGGGCCCGGGGAAGCTGGTAGTGTGTCTAATGATAGGCTTGCAGACTACGGACCCGAGGGAAGCAGCCCCTGGGCCGGACTTCCTCCATTCATCATGAGAGGACACAGGTGGGTGGAGTCCTGAACCATCTAGATAAAACTCATCAGGGGATGCAGCCACAACTCTGAGTCTGTGGGTTTGAAGAGGGACTCAGTACAGCCGTCGGGAGCAGCTTAGTGCCCTTTGCCTGTGCTCACGTACCCTTGTGGACTTGCTTTACGTGTTCGTCCCTGTAGGACATGTTCTTTCTTCCCGGGAAATATTAAGCTCCTTGAGAGTGGAGGCTGTATTTTCTGATTTTTGTCTATGACCTTGTAGCTCTGCAAGGAGCAGGTATTAAATGAATGTTTTTGAAAGATTGGTGCTTATGTTAGGAAGGCTCTGGGTTGGTAGCATATAAAATTTGGGTTTTCTATTTTAGAAAAGTAAATGACATTACACTTAGTGCTGAATTACCCATGCAAAGGACTTTTCACGCGATACTTTGTATCCCATTTGGCATCTTCCAAGTACCTGGTAATGTCAACAGCTACCAGGCACACTCGCCCAACTTTTTGTTGGTGTGTACTCAGAGATTGCAGACTCCTTTTAATATTATCATAAAGAAACTCATTTCTGAAGGATGATATGCTGCTAAAATCTTGGAGCAAACCAAGGCATGGTAGGAATCTTCTGTGCCATGTTTGTGCTACTGCTCTCCTCCACTGACACATACAGTTGTGAGGTGTGACTGTTAGATTCGGGTCCCAGATGAGGTTTCAGAAGGAAGGCTTGCCTTCGGTACCTGATCCCATGTGGCCCTGACCAGATGGATCACACAGGGCTGCTCTCTTCTCCTAGCACTGTCAGAAAATGACCACCGCAGCCCGGGAGGTGCCATCATTCTTGGTTGAGCGAATGGCAAATGTCAGGCGGCGACGGCAGGACAGGCGAGGGATGTGAGTGCAAATCTGTATGGGGGAAGGGGTGGGGGGGGCCTTTGTAGTCCTTCCAGGCCAATATCCGGATACGTTCACCCACTTGAGCTTCCCATTCTGCAGTAGGCCCTCCCTGGGTGTGCTCCCCTAGATTCCTCCTTTAGGCTCCTTAGGAGGTGCTGGGGAAGTGACCCTTCCTGCGGTGTCTCCCAGGGAGGGCGGCATCCTCAAGTCGCGAATTGTCACCTGGGAACCATCAGAAGAATTTGTCAGGAACAACCATGTCATCAACACCCCTCTTCAGACAATGTACATCATGGCAGACCTGGGGCCCTATGGAAAGTGAGTGAAGCCTCTCACCTCCCGGCTCAGATTCTCCTCCTCTTCCCTCGCTAACCATCACCTACCCGTTACAGTCATCCTGGGGTATATGGGAGGGAGGTACTTTTTCCTCTTGTACTTCTTAGTTGTACTCAGAAGAAGGTACTATGATGGTTCTCGCTATAGCCTCTGTCCTCTCGCCTGACGTGGGCTGACTATGTCTTCCTCTCTCTGGAGGTGGGACCAGTGGTCCTGAACCTGGGTGTTGATTTTCTGGTATCTAGGCTTGGCTATAAGAAGTATGAACATGTCCTCTGTACTCTGAAGGTGGACAGCAATGGTGTGATCACAGTAAAACCTGACTTCACTGGCCTCAAAGGACCCTACAGGTGAGGGAAAGAAGAAAGGGAGAGTGGAGACTGGCATTCCTTCCCTTGGCTTCACTTCTGGCCCCTAGTTGAG